AAGTGCATTAAAGGCATTAATTGAAAATCCAATATTTGCAAACCAAGAGGGGGGGCCGGCGGCATCAATAGAGGAGCTAGGTTTAGAAATAAAACTGAATTAATTTCAGTTTTAAGTGAAATTGGAGGGATTTATTTGAGCTTAAGATTTGAATTTCAAAATAAGAGAGGGGGGATTAATTGCACAATTAATGGGGCCCATGAAGAGGGGGCCGGCGGCATCAAGGAGGAAGAGGGGAGTTTGGGATGAGGTGGAGGATTCCAAATCAAGACGATGACTAGGAAAATTTTGTCTCATGAATCCAATTTCATTTGGAATGAGATTGAGTTCAAAATTTCGAAAACTTTCTTAAATTAGAATTTCCCAATTAGGAAAGAAATTGAAATTTAAAATTCAAATTTCAAGGAGATGTTGGGGAGGAATATGGAGAGGTGGTGGAGAGGAAAGATGGCCGGGGGCAAGGTGGCCGGCCGGTGAGGATCCGGTGGCCGGCGGGTTGCTCTAGGGACGGTGGCGGCAAGAGCTTGGCTTCTTTGCTTTCTCTTCTCTACTTGGGGTATTTGGTGGCGGAGTGACAAAGGATTAGGAATTTTAAACCTTGATCGATTTCTACAAGTGAACTCACAAAGAGATCACTAAGAGATCTCTACGATATTGAACTCACAAAGAGAACAAAGCATAAGAAAATTTCATTCAATAATTCAATACCCCCATACAAGAAACAAGAGCCATTTAAATAGGCTCCACATGACACAAGTACAAAAGTCTAAAATGCCCTCCGGGCTACAAAAGCAAACTAATACCCTCAAGGGTAAAATGGGAAAACTGAAAAATAAATGCATAATACATAAAATGCATAATACATAAAATGCTAGTGTAAATAAAATCAGTAGTAGAGGCTCTCCATCATGGTTGTGGACCTCCGATGTCGTCTCTGATAGACGCGCCGAAATCTCCTGTCGATGACCTCATCAAAATCAGTATGTGAATATCACAGCAAAATTAAATGGCATAAAAAAACAGAAGGCTACAGTAGCTTAAATCGAAACAATAGCCAAACTTGAGAACCAAACTGCTGAAAACAATACTATTTGTTAAAATCAAAGGATGTTATTGAAGCAAGTTTTTGATAAAAAAGGAGAAAAGAATATAGTCATCTAAAATATAAATTTGCAATTTGATCTGGCAGCTCACATATGAATTTACATTTTCTGCTTTTTTGAAAAATTGCAAAATGAATCTTTGCAACCAAGTTATTATGTGAATATTCCTGTTATTGAAGATCCACTTTTTTCCTTATATAATAGGTTTAAAAATATGAATATTGCCCTCAATTCGATTTCCTTCATCTACATTTCAAACTTTATCACTTCACTTAAGGTTGAACAAATTCAAATTCCTCAAAGCTTCGAAGCTCAACCTTTCAATAAAGAACTTCTGACTAACGCTCTTTCTACAAAAAAAAAAAAAAACTCAAATTATTGCTACTACTTGTGAGCGTAAATGGATTAAGCGAACTAAATGTGCTTGGTTTTTCAAAGGAGAAGACAAATATCAAATTCCTGTACCAAAGAATCATGAACAGATGGAATTGCAATCATAATAGAGATCTCTGGTACTAATGGTTTCTTATGTTCTCAAGATGACATTGCTAATGAAGCCACTCCCATTTTGATTCACTTCTCGATATCAATGCAAATATCTCTCCTTATCCATCCCTTAATTTGTCAGTGGACCATTTTTTATTTTGATCATGATTTGGGTGATCTGTTATCCACTTTTACTGATGACGAGATCAAAAGAGCGCTTTATAGTATTGGGGTTGATAAAGCACATGGATTGGATTGCTTTACTTCTAAATTTTTTAGGACACGTGGCATATCATTGGTTCCTCCTTCACTGAAGCTATCTAATATTTTTTTACTATCTCAAAGCTCTCTAATCGTGTCAACCCATTTGCTACTTGAATTCTAAATCATACTCACATAGACACTTAATGACTTAAAGCGTACATCCTTTTGCAACACTGCAACACTACTTACAAGGTCATCTTCTCCCAAAACTTATCCATCCTGTTTAGTCAACCTTCATTCATGATAAAGATATCTATACTACTATATACTCACATAGACACTTAATGACTTAAAGCGTACATCCTTTTGCAACACTGCAACACTACTTACAAGGTCATCTTCTCCCAAAACTTATCCATCCTGTTTAGTCAACCTTACGTGCAATAAAACTAGTTGTTTATAATGAAATGAGTTACTTCATAGTTTCAACTCATTTAACAATCTCAAAAAATTATATTCCAAAATTAATCTTAAGAAAGCTTTTGACAATGTAAGCAGACAATTTCTTTATTAAAGATTGGTCTTAGGCATCCATGCAACCTTTATCAGCTGGATTAGAGCTTTATTGAGGCGGTATGTTTCTTTGGTTGTGATTAGTGGAAAACGTAGATGTTGCTTCCCCTCCTCTAGCCCTAGACAGGGATGTCATCTTTCCCTGTTTCTCTTCACATTCATCATGGATGAATTCTCCAAATTGGTTGATTTACATTGTACGAATGGCTCCTCTGGTATTGGAAAAAATGACATTATCATTTCTTACTCGTTTATACAAACTACGTTTTGATTTTTGGCTATGGATTCATTTGGGATGGCTTTCTTACGGCTTCTTAAAATAACTTTCTAGTACAAAAATTAATTTTTTTTTGCTAAAAAACAGCTTTAAGAGACAGTAAGAAAGTCATCCCAAACAAGGCCTATATTGACTGCAATACTATTAAGTGTTGATATACCATTTTGGATGCATTTCGGAGAGCCACCGATCTTTTTGTGTTAACATGAATAAATCTGCAATTTGCTTTTCTAAATCGTTTGACTTGAGTACTATAAAGAATATCTATCAGACCTCGAGATTCCCTTGCAAACCACTTCAATGGGATCATCTTTGCATCACTCTCATGTAAATTTAAGGCTTCTGATTCGTCAAAATTATGGATAAATTGCATGTTTGGCTTAGTGTTTGAAAACAAATATTATTATACTTTGTTGGTAAGTTCTAATTTGTCAACTCTGCTATTTGGAACTATCTTCGTTATTGGTTTCTCTTTGTAACCTTACCTAAAGAGCTTAGGAAAAAATTACATCCCTTATCAGCAGCCTTTTTGCATACTAATGTGAACAAAAAACTACGTATGATTTCTTGGAATACAACCACCAAGTCTATGGATATGGGAGGTTTGGGCTTTTATTTTGGATGCTCTTAATCTAATATGCAAAGCTAAACTCATCTAGAGACTATAATAATAACCCGTACTTCCTGGTGCTTCAATTATATGGTTCTTTGTGGAACCTGCCTACTCAAAGAGCTTCTTCCTTTTTGGAATTCTCTGTACGGTTGCTGTCAAATTTTGAAGCTATTTCTCTTTTGATATTAATAATAACAAAGGTAATTTACTCTTCTTTGATTCATGGAGGATAGCTGCACTTAATTGAAATTTTTGGCACTCAGTTTTCTACTGTTTCAATTGCTGGGCCTCTACTACGCTTAAAATTGTTATGGTCAATAGAGTATGGAATCTCTCCATTTATCCTTATTAAGAGGAATTCACTGCAAGTTGCACTCAAAATATTTTTAAGTCCTCAAACGCCTGTTGCTGGATTATATATATATATATATATTTCTTTTTCATTACTTCGAAGAAATAATCTTCTTCAACTTTTAGGCCAGAAGTCCATTCAACTGCACCTCATTAACTCCACACAACTTTTCTGGACAAATTTTGAGGCTATTAATCCATACGATCCATAACATAACTAGTATGACAGGAGCGACTACTGGTTTGATTTCCACTGCATAGACTCATTGACCATTGACTGATTCAGATTGATAGATTGACATGCATATTGATAGCATCGCCGTGCTTTGATTTCAGTTATAGGTATTAGGTGACCTGCTGGGCTTTGTAAAGCTCATTATATGTGGTTGACATTTTCAGATCCGAGCAAGGCAGCAGGATTGGAGATTGATCAAGACTGTTAGACGAATCCTTTCACTATGGATGCCTGGGGCGTCACAGTTGGGGTCCCCTCACATGATTGATATGACTGAAAAAACACCACCTGAATCACATTGCCTGCTTAAATTGTTGCGAGTTAAGTGAATTGTTTTAGACTATAATTTCCGAACAGTTCAATATCAAATGAAATTTATAGGTGAATTAGCAGCTGCTTGGTATCCTATTTCAGGCAGGAAACAAAATGTAGCTTAAATCCTGACAAACATAAATTTGAGGATTTTTTTTTTTCTTTTGGAACGGGGTATCAACCCACTGCTGCTTGGCAGCGTAACTAATCCTACAGCGGAACCTAGTGAGGCCACCCACCGGCATCGGACTCACACTTGCGTTGCTCCAATGAAGAGGCGAGGTCGTAGTAGAGGGGATTCGAATCCGGAATGGGGGGTTCCCAACCGTGCTCGCCCACCAACCACCCTAAGCCTCGGTGGGTAAAATTGAGGATTTTACTATTGTTCTAATAAATTAAGGTTCAGCCCCTTAGTTTGCTAAATCTAAGATATATTAAATCCCATCTTTCACAGGATTTAACGGATTTAAAAAAATTTCCACTTACAAAATTTAAATCTTAAAACAAATAGCCAAAAACGTTCACAAAATTTAGCATTTTTCATGCCAAACAAATTCTCAGATTTAGAGCAAGGTCATATTCACATTTGTGGAATGTGGAAACTTGTGCAGTAAAAACTTCAAAATGTAATCTACTTCACTTGAACATCGCAGAACTGTCCTCCAAGGCGAACCAGTTCTGGATCTGTGATCAATTGGATTCTGTGCTGCAGATTTACAATCTAGTTTCTTTTAACTCTTCTTTCCCATTGTTTAACAGAAGAAGCATCAACCTTCCGAGTTCTTAAACTTTCTTTTAATCAGCTAATTTCTTCGCAACTGACTAAACTTTTTTGAATATGCCCAGGTCCTGCTTTCAATCTGTTCTTTGTTGACAGATCCAAACCCAGATGATCCACTAGTTCCAGAAATCGCACACATGTACAAGACAGATAAGAACAAGTATGAGACTACTGCAAGGAGTTGGACTCAGAAATATGCCATGGGTTAACTAAAGAAGAAAAAATGTCAAGTACCCCTTTTACCTCTCTCTCTCTCTCTCTCTCTCTCTCTCTCTCTCTCTCTCTCTTCATTATCTTGATTATCTTTATGCGTTGAAGTGATTATTCCTTAAAGAATTACTGTTTAATTATTTGATTGGAATCTGGTGTACGAACAAGAGAAAAATCTCCAGTGACGATTGAGAAATACTATAAAAAAACCATAAATGGGCTCGCAGATTCCGCTGTGGGAATTGGCAAAGCATATTTTGGCGAGCCGAGAATTTTTCCCAAGTTCCTATGAGTCTTTATTTAAATGCTGAGGTAAAAAAGGTGGATTGAGGGGAAAAAAAGAAGCTTGGTATAGCCTTGTAAGATGATTGTGTGAGGATGGAATTGGAAGTCGTTAAACTTATTTTAAGATTAAGATGAATTCAATATAAATTTTAATATATGTACTCATATTAAAATAAGGGTGATTTACATATATAGCCTTGTTTGGTTGATATGTGGTGATCTTGCTAGGAAGGGCATTTGGGAGTGGTGGCATATGCAACTTGTTGACAATGAAAATTAGAAGAGGAGTTTATGAAAAGATTTCTTTAGGGTAGATCGTAACGAATTGTAAGATATGATTGTGATCATTGATGAAATTATCGGTGTATAGTGATCTTGAAACACTCGAAGAGAAATTGAGGAAGTCATGATATGGGGGGAAGAGAATCGGAGAAATTAATGAGAATAATAAATGATATATTTGATGTTTTTTAAATGAATTAATTATTATAGGGGTAAACATTAAAGAAGTTTTAAGTACATAAATTAGAAAAGTTTGAGTGTTGGATCTTCTTTTGAGGCATTTAGGCTAATTAAGGCAGACTTACGCATACATCATTTACATGGATTCAAACTCAAGATCTCGAAGTCTAAGCTCCAAACCAACAGATTAAGATGAGCTGTGTAGAGTTGAAAGGGCCAAGGAGATATAATGTTCATTTCTCCCAATATTGGCGCAGTAACTGAGGCTAAGGATGGCTGTCTGAGTCATTATTTGACTATTTATTACTTGATAAGTATGAAAAATGTTATGTGCTTTTGGATTTTACTATCAGAAACTGCTGACGCTCTCTGTATTGCATTCTTCCGACATGGTAAGAATGGAAATGATTTTGCCTTCTGATCTTTGTCATCTGAAAATGCAGACTCTTTCCATCACATAACAACATTGAAGAAACTATTGGGGGGAAAAAGTTATCTGATGAGCTCTTCACCTTTTGAAAAGTTGAGGAATGTAAGAGAAATGAGTAAAATGGTAAGATGTTTATATAATAATTATTTGGAGAATTTACATATATAATAGAGAAAATTTTCAAATTTACATATTTAATATTTAAATTTTATTATTTATGTAATGTGGCACTTAGTTGACAAAATTATTAGCAAGGAAATCAACCATGAGATCTTATCGAAAGAATCATCGACGAGATCAATTAATGTAATTGATTAGAGTGAGTTGAATGGTACAAATATCACAAACATGTTCATTTATTTTCTTATCTCCAGGCATTTTGTAAAATATTTAATATGATAATAATAGTTTTTTATATAAATATTTAATATATTTATTATATATTTTTGTTGCAAATTCATCAGTTAAAAAAAATTATATTAATTAGATTGAATTAAATATTCTGACTAAAATTTTCTTATTAGTTTCTCATCAATCATCTACTTCAGTGCTTCTAACTTCAATCAATCAACAAATAAATGAGAATATGCTGCAAATTTAAGGTTGTGGCTTTCAATACTACCACTTCTCGGCCTGATTCCTGATTTCCATGCTAATTCAAAATAATTAAATAATTAATTAATTACTTTATTTATGGAGAGAGAGAGACGACCTAAAAAATTGGAGAAATTATTATATGTGATCACCGAACACTGAACGTTGTCCAAAGACGAATCAGGATGTGTCATGTCACTATTTTATGTGTATCGGATGACATGGGGCAAATCATTACGTCCGGTGTCCGGATTCGTCCGGACACCAATCCAGACGCGCCACGTCACCAAAATAAAAACAATGGTTATGTTAAGAAAGGTAGAGGTAGACCTAAAAAGACTTGGTTAAAAAATATTAGGAATGACCTTTCTTTATTAGATTTAAACGATAATTTGACCTTTAATAGGACACAATTGAGAGAAAAGGATTCATGTAGCCGACCCCACATAGTGGGATAAAAGCTTAATGTTTTTGTTGTTGTTGTATTATCTTTTCACTTAGTATTCTCAATATGATTAATGTGATATCCGAATTCAATAGAAATAATAAATTATAATAATTTATTATTTTAAATAAACAATGAGAGAGAGAGAGAGAGAGATCTCTTAAGAGTGGAGTTAGCCAATCGTGCACACGAGTGGTCGACCTAAAGCCTGAAAAGATGGCTCGAGAATCTAATTATATAGCTTTTAAGATAAATTAATAAGTTCTCGGCTCATTAATTTCTCTCTACAGTGATAGTCAAGAGAAGCTCCCACTAAGTATCCCAGTGGTTGCTGACGTGGCCAATTTGTTTCACACGTGCGAAGTACCCACCGCACGTTTTTCATTCTAATTTATATTTCTTATTAAAAATATAACATAATTTTAAAAATTCTCACTTAAAATTATAAATTGTTTCATGAAACTTATTACTTATTAAAATTTAAAAACCAAAATTTAATTTTCTTAAAACTTTTATAAAATATTTTATTGTTTAAATAAATGCCTTATATTTTTCATATATTTTATATTATGCGAAGCTTCTCGCATAAATTATTTATATATTATATATTTTTCATACATTCATAATTTCAATGTTATAATTAATTATTATTATTTTTATTTTTTAAACCATTGTGATTAAATAAATTATTTACATATTTCATATAAATTATGAAAATATCTCTAATTGCAACTATATATATATAAATGATCTCATATTATTAGAATTTGCAATTAGAAAGTGTTGCTTTGAATCAGAATAATTATATATTTTTTAATAATTTGCAAATTATAAATTTAAAATAATGCTGACACATTTATATTTTTATTAACATTTTTCTACACTTTGGAGTATCTTATTTTATCCTGAAAAGACAATAAATATTAAAGTTTTATGATCTGCATTAAATGAGCTGAACTTTCATTAATTTCCTCTCTACTATAAAAACCACGTGAGAGGATTCGGCTCTATAATTAAACTTAACATGGAAAACAAATTGTATAATATTAATATATGATGATAAAATATAGGTAAAATTTTGAGTCAGCATATCGTTGAATCTAAATATATTCATTGGTCATAGTCTGGCTTTTATATTTTTTCTTAAAGCAGATTTTTAGTATAAAAATTTTATTTGTTGTACTATAAAACTGTTTTAAGAAACAGTAAAAAAGCCAAACAAAGTTTTAACTATAAGATTGACAAAAAAAGTAAATAAATAAAGTTTTCATTTGGGACAACTTTCTTATTGCTTCTTAAAACAATATTTTAGTACAAAATTTTTTCGACCATCTAGCCAGGATGGTGAGGCCGCAGTGGAGGCGGATGGCGAAGAGGGGTCCGTGCGGAGCTAGTATGCATCAATGAGGCCTGTGGGATTTTCGAAATCCAATTTTATTTACAGTGGCTGGTTGGGTCGGTTCTGGATCATTCTCAAGTTTCTAGGTCTAACTGAACCTGACCGAATTTTTAAAACGGGTCGGTTTGTTGGATCCAAATCCAACCCGTTTGACAAACAGATTGATCCTACCCCAGAATTTTCGGGTCCAGTTCAAGCCGGATTTTTGGATTGTGTCAAATATTGACACCCCTAGATTTGATTGACCTGTAAAATCAATGTCTTTTGGCCATCTAGCTAGGATGGCTCTAGCCCAGCATGAGCAATTTTAGATATATACGTATACATATATATAGTTTTTCATTTATTAATGTATTTTGAAATATCAAAATAAATTAAATAAATTTCTAATAAACTATTATGACTCAAATATTCTACTTAAAAATATACGATAATTTATATTAAAAAAATAATGCTCTAAGGATTTATGTGATCTTATATGATTGATTGATAATCTTTAACGCCATTAAAAAAGTTAAGGTGCGTGCATTTGCATCATTAATGATAACAAATGAAATAATTACATGACTTTGCAACTTATGTAAAGATAAGATATAGTAGTAGACCATTTTGTTCGTGCGGGTTACTCTTTATTATAGTTTTTGACGGGTAGAAGTGTAATTATTAGATTTAATATTATTAGATTCAACATGACTTTGCCACCTTTGCAAAGATTTCTGGTTAAATAAAAATTTAATTGTCTGATATTATCGCCAAAACTCAACGCCATAAATGACCGAAAGAGTACTGATGCTCTGAATCTGAAGTAGCCACCAGCATTAGTGATTCACAAAGGTTTTTAAGAGAGTAGGGGTCGCTTTGCTACAAGATTCTAAGATTTTTTTTAATGAATTTTATATGTATAAATATAGTTTTATAAAAATGCACGCACCTGTTTATAGTGATTCGAGTTCTATATTTGGACCTGTTTATAGTTTGGATCGAGTACATGTTAATCCAGCAAATCTGATTTGACCTGAATTGACTTGTTGTCACTTGCACCCGCTGCATCCCAGCTACTGCTGCTGCTGCCAAATGCCGCGCACACCTGACGCCCCTAGCAGGCTCAGCGGCCTAGCCCAGACCGCTAGTCCCGAGCCACGACTCAACAACTCGTGCTTGATGCCTCGACGGAACCGCAAGCGTCAAGTTGCAAGCCCCGCTCCCGCACTCACGTGATCACGTCAAATGAAACTCATGCTCGACCAGCCTAGTCGACCTCAATTGAGACGGTGAATTTCGCTATCGCCGACTCGTGCTCGACAAAACTGCAAGCCCTTCACTCGTAAGTCATCGTGCTGGATGAAACCTAAACTCTTTTTCGGGTTCGTAGTTCGTGGTTCGGGTTCGGATTGCAATCGAGCTGAGCTGAATTGAGTATATTATGAATCAAATTTAATTTGATAAGACTATTAAGTTTTTAAGGTTTGACTCAAGCTCAATATGAGCTTTTACATTTACGAATATTTGTATTTGACTTATCTGAGATTGTCTATTATTGAGCTTGATTTGTATTTTTGATTTCTAAATTAATCGAATGAGTACTTAAACAAACTCATTACTAAATGAACTCTCAATAATTTCATTGGCCTAAATAAATAAATAATTCAATAAAATTTGAAATAATATATAATTATTTGATACTAATGAACAATATAATAAATAAGTCATGAAAAGTATTCATTTCAATTATATTTAAATTAATTATATGATCTCCAAATTAATTATTTAACATCATACATACAAACTAAACATGTCATTTGATTAATATTTATTCTCTAAACAGGTTGTTAATGATCTATTCATTAATCAAAACTTTTTATATGTTTTATGCAAATTAATTTTACATATTTTTTTAGTTTTCTATATTGAAAGAATCTGTAATCTTTTTTAATATTATCAAATATTTTAGATATTTAAGTGACCTTTCAAAAATTTATTTCAATTATCAAATTAGTAAAGACAAAACCGTTGATTTTGCATTGATATCTGTGCAATAGAAAATTTATTATCTTATTTTCCTTGACTTTTCCATATTCTCATTTATTTTAAAAATTTTGTCATTTTAATTGCACAAATATCAAAGACTTATAATAGTACAAATTTACTACATTTACCCTTTGGGCAATAATTTTAATTTACGTTGGATCTCCCGGAGATTAAGGCAATGAGGCTTTGGTTTGAGCAATTTTAAGTACCTAATCAGTCAAGATAATACTACTTTAATCATAATTAAATAATTAAACACCTTAACAAAATATTTGTAGCATTAATTTCTATGAACAATTAAGCCAATTTATTTCATTTGATAAGAAAATTAATGTGCTTCTTTAATGCATATGTTGTGCGAAATTTTTAATATTATATTTTATGATGCAATTAGTATCAGATGTGTCAATGTGCTTCTTTAATGCATATGTTGTGCGAAATTTTTAATATTATATTTTATGATGCAATTAGTATCAGATGAGATATATTAAAAATATTCTATGTATTAAATAATAAAAAATCAAATAAATTTATTATATAATTTAAAATTATTTTTTTGAAGATGTTCAGTATGAGAGGGAAGTGGCATTAGGTGTAAATATTAGTCTAAATCTGACTTATATAATGTGCTAATTTTATTTTAAGCCAACCAAATCACCTTATGTGGATATAGGTTACCTTAATTTATGTGTTTGATAGTCGGGTTGGGTTTGAATCCGAGTTTATTCGGGTTATGAGAAAGTAGAGTTTTATCCAACCCAATTGAACTATTAAAGAATTGAGCAATATTTTAAGTTAAGGTAATTATATAGGTACATCCAAATATATATAAAAAAGAAATGATTCAAACTAAAGTTGACACACTTCAAGCTAAGTCGGTTCAAGTCAATTTA